GATGAATGAAGGTGAAAGGTTATCAGTAATGAAAGAGATGAATGAAGGTGAAAGGTTATCAGTAATGAAAGAGATGAATGAAGGTGAAAGGTTATCAGTAATGAAAGAGATGAATGAAGGTGAAAGGTTATCAGTAATGAAAGAGATGAATAAAGTTCACCTTTTTATCAGTTGCAGTTAAAATTTACGTATAATTTATCCTAAATTTTAATTTAGAGATTAAATATTTGTGGAGATTATTTCTAATGGATGATATCAGAGTGATAATACAATTGTACTATTTCAATAATTAAATTATCATTAAAATTAAAGTATTATTGAGTAATTCTGTATTATATTTGAAATATTATTATATTTTAATATAATAATCGTAAAAGAAACAAAAATAATATGAAAGTATTGGTGTGAAAATTTTTCATTTAATTGATTATAAATATTGAAAAGATTGTATGAGAAAGAGAGGATGGACATATTGCGCTTTTCTTTCTTTTCCAAACCATTGCGCTTTTCTTACATTTCATCATACATTCCTTTTTCATGTTGAAAAATGTTATTAATTTATGGTTGTAATTTTGATGCTTTCTGTCGTTTGGGCTCATTTATCACTTTTTATTGACCAAAAATAACAGGCTAATTTTGATTATTGATAAAATGTCCTATAACCTTTATTGCATAGAAAGGCAATTTAAAAAAAAAATTTTTTTTAAATCTTTAAAGTGATAAATGTTTGAAATTTAAAATCTTAAAAGATAAAAAATGAAGTGAAAATGAAGTGTACGAATTTTCATTAATAATCTAAAACTCCGAATGTTGATATTATCGGGTTATTTGTCATCTTGCTAGTTGAGATGAAAGAATTAAAAATATCTATAGAAATTAAAATTACATTTTTTTGTTTTATCAATTTTGTTTTCTTATCAGTTGAATTTAACAATGAATAAATTCAGTACAATAAAACTGAAACTGGTCCTCATACATTAAATTTCTTTTTTCCTTAAATTTACTGTTCATTTTCCTCGTTATATTCAACAAATTTTACGACAATCCAAGAAACTTTTTTTATTTCTCAATCGATAAATTTCGAATTTTACAATTTTGCTAATAATATTTTCGCAATTTTTAGTAAAAAAAAGAAAATGTTCAACTTTAGTATTCAGTTTATTCTGAATAATTGTCTACAATTATAATAATAAAATTTGGAATGATAATATCATTACTGAATGACCTTTGATTCCTTTGATTTATTTGCATATTTTCCATATTGTTAAGGTTTTTTTTCATTTGATTTAAGTAAAATTATATTATGCATCGTTCCACTTTTCTGTTTTCTTTTTGATCTTTGGACATTTTTGTTAGGTGTATGACAACGATTTGAAATTATGCAAAATTTTTCAGATTTATTGATATTTATCTCTTTTTTTGCATACCCATTTTATGCTTTTAATAATTTTCATTTGCATTTTTTCGAAAACTAACCTTTTGCTATTTTTAACAATCGTTTCCAAGGTAACCCATTCAACTCATTCAAGGTCATAAAGGAAATTATCATTGGTAATCCATAAGGAAACGAACTATCTTATGAATCGTTTACACCCCAGCTTTATTAAATATCAAATACTCTTATCCATTTCATTCTTTGAATTCTATTTCATCTCTCAATTTACTAATCGATAATAATAACTCTTGATGGTAATAACGCTTTTAATTCTTGTAATTAAACCTTAATTAATTTGACGTAGAACTGATTATTGTGCTACTTAATGCAAATATTGTAAAATAATTGAAAAATTAAATTTCTTTTTTTCTTCATGTAACGGTTTGTAAATTTCCACAATTTTATATTGATAATATCTTTGTTATAATCTAATTAAAACTTCATTTTTTCTCGAGAATAACTAAGATATATTGTATTTATCATTGATTAAAATCATTTTCTCTTAAATATTACGAAATTCTCACAAATCATTCTAATTAAGATTTTTGAAATAAAATTGGAAAGAAAAATCAAAACAAATAATTATTAGTCATCAGTTGTGTGAAAAAAAAAAAACTTTTCGAAAGGCTTAGAGATGCATTTGGAATTTAAAACTAAAATGTCATCTTTACTTTTCAAATTCTATTTCAGATTTCAATCATATCATCAATATTCTCTCGTATTTTTTTCCCGATTTTTCGTGGTAAAAGCTGCTCATCGTGTTTTTTCTTTTTTTTTTTAAATAACCTAATTATAAGTATTTAGCTTAATGATAACATTGATAAACCATTTATATCATATGGCTGTCATCAGAATATAAAGAAAATAAAAATGGTGTAGTGGAAGATAATTCTGAAAGGAGAGAATATCAGTAAATTACTTTTAAAATCTTTTAACAAATGGCAAATGATTAGATAAGCAGATACAACATTCTTCGATAATTCTTTTTTTTTTTGTGATAAATGGTGATAAGACTGATGGAAATAAAGAAGGAGAAAAAAGATTTTTTCGTCATATAAATGATTATTGTTATTGTGAGGTAAAATGAATTTCATTTTTATCCTTCGATTACTTAAATTTAGATATTTTTAATTTCAAAACCCTTTGGATTCGAATAATTTTATAAATCCAACTTGTCCTTCTCTTTTATTTTCTTCAAAAACAGGATTTCTTTGAGAGATACAGCAACGAAAGCCGTTTTTTTTTTAGTAAATCAAGGTCATTTTTCAAATTTCCACCTTTTTTTCTATTTTTTTTTGTTTGCTCATTGTCCTTGAGGGGGACATTTGAGTATCCCTTGTCCACCACCTATAAATTGTTATTTAAATAATTCCATAAAATGGATTCTCACAATCTCTTTGCTACTCTTCCCTGGACGGATAATATCTTAAATGACAGAGGTAACTAATAATCATTGGTCGCTTAGTGTCAATAATACCAACTGTACCGATATAAGCAGTGGCGACAAACTGAGCATTCTCTACAAGTCTTCATCACTCACATTTTTCATCATGTGTGGACTGTCACGGTATGTCCACAACTAACTGACCACCTCTTACTTTTTTTACCTTTCACAGATGTTATGAAAGATGAACTGGCACTGCAAGATCGACTGTAATACAATGACTATTCTGATAGCAGCCGTTGATATTATTTTCATAAGGATCTGATAACGTATCATTTTTGATGACTCATTTTTCAACTATCATTTGTACTTATTTTTATTGACAGATGCTTCTAACTTAGGATATTTTTATATTGCTTGGATAAAAATAAACTCTCAGGAAATCTCAGGTAAGAATAGAGTGCCGGATAAGAAATCTCGGATAGGAAGAATGAGTCACAAGAAGTTTTAAAAGTTAGAGTTCTGCTGTTTGCTCCTTTTATTGTTTGTTTATTCTGTTTGAGAAGATGAAAATTCATCAAAATTTTCGTAGTTAATTCAGTTCTGTAAAGGAAATACTGAATGCATTAGCATTTTCGAATTTGAGTTTCTGAAATAAGAATTGGAGTAAATTTCACCAACTTTAGTCTTATACTAATACTTCCTATTAGTTCATATCTCTTTGTTATATTTCTTGATAACTTTACAATTTCACTAGTGCACATGCTGTGTAGTACTGATAAGATAATATTATTCTATCATTGTGTATCAGAGTATTACTAAACTATCACGATCCGTTATTTCTTGTTCTGTTTCCTTTATAATCTATCCTTTACTTATAGATTTGATATTATCTCTGACAGTAGCAAACTAACGGATACAAATACAACTGGTTGATTCCATTGTTTGGCGATACGAAACAATTCAGATGATAAACGATTTTGGAACTCTTGGTCAAGGGAAGCCATTTGCAATTGAGAATTATAAAAAAGGTAAATTTCTCAAATTAGCTTCTGAATTTGAAATTATGATAAGCTTTTATTCACTGAAGAAAAGAACGTCTAACTTCGACAAGATTTCCACATGATTTCAATTACTCATTCAGTTCTTAAAACATTGAAAGCATTTAATTGTGGATGAATTTGAAAGGAATATACCCTTCATTATATTTTTGCTTTTATTTATATTTCACAGGTACACATATATGGTTAAGGGATCCAGAAAAGGTATGGATAGGTGGCGAGTTATTGCATGATTTCAAATCTACCTCACGAAATAAGATACGGCTGCAAGATGGACAGGTAAATTACACGTGTTCTTTTATTTGTTTCATTAGTCATTAATAATCTTCTGTACATTACAAATACTAGTGCATTTGTTTTGTAAACTCAATGTAATCAGCATAACTGAGTGACTTTTAGGTAACGGAACTTGTGCTTAGAGAGTCGGAAGAACTTCCATTCTTACGTAATCCAGATGTCTTACTTGGTTGTGATGATTTGACAACATTGAGTTATCTGCATGAACCTGCCGTTCTCAATCATCTCAGTTTTCGATTCGTTAGACGAGAAGCAATCTATACGTATTGTGGTATTGTTTTAGTAGCTATTAATCCTTACGCGAATTGTTCCCAACTCTACGGAGATGACGTCATACAGGTACTTACTACACCTTCATTTAAGCGTATTAAAAAGGTTATTGAGGATGATGTCTGAAGTAAATTAATTTTGTTTTCAAAACTTTCCCCAACAGGACTGATTTCATCCTGTTATGTTTCTTAAAGACTTTGATTAATCACTGAAGTACTTGAATACAGGTATATCGAGGTGTTGGTAAACAAGTACGAGAACTTGACCCTCATATTTATGCTGTCGCCGAAGAAGCATTTTTCGATCTATCCAAATTTGGTAAAGATCAATCGGTGATCGTTAGCGGTGAATCTGGTGCTGGCAAAACAGTTTCTGCTAAGTTTGTTATGAGGTAGAAATATTGATTTTCGGAAAATTTTTTATAATTGTGAGAAAATCTACTTGAAATTCTTGTAAAGTTCAGGTACCTGGCATCGGTAGCATGTTCGTCATCGAACAAGTCATACAATAATAAACCGACAGCAAGCATTGAGGATCGTGTCTTGGCATCAAATCCAATAATGGAAGCAATCGGAAATGCAAAAACAATCCGGAATGACAATTCTTCTCGTTTTGGAAAATATATACAAATTGATTTCAATGATCGTCTCGGTATTGCTGGTGCTGAGATGAGAACTTATTTGCTGGAAAAAAGTCGTGTCGTGTTTCAGGTGGCTAGACAAAATAAGAAAATTAGCTCAGAATTTGGCTGAACCTTAAAAATTGTTGCCGCGCGCTCAGTTCGATTATTAAATTGCCCGTATTTTTTGATCAGCACTATAGTCTTCACTATCACTATTTCTAGTTCTACTAATTCCATTATTTCAGGCAGAAAATGAACGAAACTATCATATTTTTTATCAAATATGCGCATCAAGATCCCATGCTTTTTTGGAAGGTTTCGAACTAGGTATCCTTTTATTACTTTAGCTTGTTCCTGCTTGTAACTCATTAACAATCATAGTCACCATGAGGGACGATGCACCACTTTGCTTCGTTGTGTCAATGTATCCGAATCACTGGAAGAAATTAAGAAGAGAATTTGCTTAGAGATTTAGCTTTGCCAAGTGCTTTTTTTTAGGTCAAGTCTTTTGCAAATCATCTTTAAGTCTTTTTTATTTTCTATCTTTGCATTTGATCGTTATCGAAGCTTTATTTCCTCATGCTTTACAAAACTCATTTTATTCTTCGGAATTAGATGAAAGCAGATTGCAGATGATTGGCGTTCTTATTTTTATACGACTCAAGGAAACAGTGGTGAAATAGAAGCAGTCGATGATCGGAACGATTTTCTACAAACGCTGACTGCACTTGATCTTCTTCGCATTCCAATCGATGTACAGAAGTCATTACTTCGTTTCTTTGTAGGCCTCCTATTGTTTGGTAATATCAGATTTATTGATGGACCCGATGAATATGCAAAAATTGATGTAAGTTCTCCACGATAGCATTTTACCACAAACGGTACTTCTCCATACCTTTCCATTTAGCAAACTTTTAATTTCTTCAAAGTCAAAATACTTTTGAAAGAAGTTTGATTTCATTACTTTTGAAATAATTCCTCCCTTATTTTAACTTGTTATGCTGTATTGCGTTACAAGATTTCAGATGAATTTAATTTAGCATACAATTCCACTTTTTGTTAGTCTGCCAGTTTTATGCTATAGATTGTTTCAGTGTGTTAGATTTTTCAGTCACGTGGAATCTGCGAGCTATTTTTTAACAAGGAAGATTTAAATTGAAATGAAAGTTTGTAAAGCTATTTATTTAATTCAGATTTTTCAATTCTTCGTTTTCTTAAGCGAAATAGTTCGAATGTAATCGATCAACTGTGTGAAAAGATATATGAAGTAAAAGAAGACAATATACGTTTATGGTTAACTGCTCGCGAAATTGTTGCTGGCGGTGAATCTGTTCGGAAACCGTTGACCACTATTGAAGTCATTTTTTTTTAATTCCTCGATTATTCCTTTTCAAGTCCTTTGACGCCGTTTTCCCGAAATTCAATTTATGTTGTTTAATTCAGTCATACACATAATGCTATTTATCTTTCAATTACACTAAAATACGTAATCTTGCAATTTCAAAGGCAGTAGAACGTCGAGATGCGTTAGCCAAGATACTTTATGCCGCAGCCTTTGCTTGGATAGTTAAGAAAGTGAACGAAGCTTTGGGAGAAGAAATAATAAGGTGCAGATCAAGGAACAGTGAACGGTTCATCGGAGTTCTCGATATCTACGGGTCAGTCTTATTTACTTTGAGATTATTTTTTATCGGTAAAGAGTTTCCATCAGTGTTCATATTCTTGCAGATTTGAAACTTTGGAAGTTAACAGTTTCGAACAGTTCTGCATTAATTATGCGAATGAAAAGCTTCAGCAGCAATTTTGTCAGGTTGGCTCAAAATGTCTGTTAATGAAAAGCGTATTTTAAGTTGTATATTTGCTAATTTTAACTAGCCAATGATTTTACTTTGCTCCGTTGGAATTAGTAGTCTAGCTTATGACTTCGAAATGTTTAATTTATTTGAATATATTATATACAAAGAGTTCTTGCTCAATCATGTGCTCTACAAATATGAATTCTGCGAAATTCGCGGAGATTAAGAAGGAACGATTGTGGAAAGTTTAGAGAAATTTTTCGAAAATTTTGGGAACTTGAAGTTGGCTCGTTTTACTGAAGGAAAGAAAGAAAATTTAAGATTCAATAAATGAGAAGAGGATGGTTATAGAAGTCTTGTTTATATCTTTATTTTTTATTTTTCAATGAAATTTTAGCATGTATTCAAACTTGAGCAATCAGAATATGAGCGGGAAGAAATCGACTGGATACGAATTGATTTTTATGACAATCAACCGTGTATCGATTTGATAGAGGGCAGACCTGGTATCATCGATTATCTTGATGAGCAGTGTAAGGTACAGTTTTCGCCATAAATTTCAAGAAATTGTCATAGCATAGATGATTACCTTACAAAAGAGTAAAGTTAGTATGCTGAAACAAGTATAAATAGCAAAATTTAGTAGTTAAGAGTAAATTACACAGTAATTACACCCTAGACTTATAGCTTTGAAATTCTCTTTATACGAAATATAATTCTAAATAGTTGCTTGTAAGGCATTATCTGAGGTACTTGCATTATTGCAGTAGTATTTTAGATGTATAAATTTGAATATTATAGAAGTAAATCCATTTAGATGGGTCAAGGAACTGATCGTGACTGGCTAGAGAAGCTGCGAACATGTCAGTCGCTCAAAAAAACGCAACATTTCCAATTGCCGAAGATCAAAGTATGTTTCAGAATGTCATATTATGGGCACATTTTTAAATGAATTTGGAATATTTTGCTTTCAAAAATTTCTCTTTTCTCAGAATCCAACATTCATAATCAGACATTTTGCTGACGATGTTACTTATAATGTCGATGGTTTTTTGGCGAAGAATAAGGATACAGTAAGCGAGCAGTTGATGATTGTTATGAAGAAAAGCAAGGTTAACAGTGATAATATTAACATTTCAAATAATAGTAAGCAAGAAAAAAAAGCTATTAAATTACTTTAAATGTATAATTTGGAAAATCGCTATTTTAATTGCCTGTTTACTTTTCCATTAAGCCTTAAATATTTGTTGCCCCAAAATACCACCACTATCATAAATTTTGATTTAATCCAACTGTTGGTCATTTCTAAATTGATGTCAATATGTTATTGCATTTAATATAGTTAAATGATTGAATATTGCAAAATTACATTCAGTACTGTGAGAATTCTTGACTAACAGTAATTATACATTTTAATCTTAATTTTAGTTCCATTTAATGCGTGAGATATTGGATATTGACAGTGACAAGAAACCACTAGGAGATGGAAATAACTTTCTTATATCAAACACAAAAAATTCGATAAAGAAATCTGTTGCTTTTCAGGTACACTTGCAATTATTGTTCCCTTCAATAACTTTGCAATATTTTTCAGTTATCAGTTGAATTGTACAATTGGTTGAAAAAAATAAGACTTTGTTTTGACGTACTTTTATTTGTTCTATCGTAACATCGCTGTCACAAAAGGATGTAGGATGTAAGCTAACCAGTTTACATCCCACACTCTTTTGTTTATCTCTAAATGCACATTTTTTCCAGAGTCAAGATATAAGGAGCAATTAGAAAAATGAAATCTTCTCATCGTTCATTTTGAGCTATTTAAGTAAGAGAAATTTTAGCAAAAGATTCTATTTGATTAATGATTTTATTTTTGAAATTATTGCATAATTCTAGTCAAGGGATTAATGGGAACTATTAGGTTAGTTTTTTATTTCTGAAAAATTTTTCAACTATATAGCAACTAGGCTTAGATTTAGGATTGATTTCGATCTATTTTCGATTCACTGTTTTTGATTCAATCCAAGTTGCAGTTTCGCGATTCACTGCGTGAACTAATGGCTGTGCTGAGTACCACACGACCACACTACGTACGTTGCATCAAGCCGAATGATGAGAAATTACCATTTACATTCAAACCTAAACGAGCCATTCAACAGTTGCGAGCTTGCGGAATTCTGGAAACCGTGCGTATATCTGCTACTGGCTATCCTTCAAGGTATGAACTGTGGTACTTCTATTTTCATAAGTTATGTAAACTTATCCAATAATTATGACAAAATTGAAAACTTTTGATAACAAAGTAGAACTATCTCTTTACAGGAGGCTAAAGGAATTATTAATTAGCAAGCATTTGCATTATTTATAGCAACAAGCTATACTCGTTATTAAATCATCCAGATTTGTCGTTAATTACAGTGTACTTGTAGGTGGATGTATGAAGATTTTGCTCGAAGGTACCGTATTCTT